GACCATGCCGTCGGACTCGGGGTGGAATGGAGTCGTCCTGGTCTTGTGGATGCCCAACAGCTGGCAGACCCCACGGAACAGGCCCGCCTCGAACTCCCACTCTTGATCCGTGTGGATCTCGAGGGGTGTCCCGAAGCACGTGGTCACCTGCTCTACGAGGGTCTTGACCACAGTCTCGGCCGTCTGATCCAGAAGGGGAAACGCCTCCACCCACTTCGTGAAATAGTCTGCCACTACTATTATACTGGTGTTTCCGGCCTTGGTTCGTGGCAGGCGTCCGATAAGGTCAATGGCGATCCGCTCCATAGGGGCCCCCACCAGGTATTGTCGAAGCGGAGCTCTCCCGGGACGCGGTGGGGACTTCTTAGAACCGCAGAGATGACACTTCTGGTACCACTCCTCAGCCTGCCGTCTCATCTTCCTCCAATACACAGGAGCCTGCCTGAGTATGGCCCGTGGTCCGAGCGAGCCCGAGGTGTCCAGCAGTTCGGTGGTTGTGGGCAAGAAGCAGAACGTCTCGCACCCTGGCCTGCGGGACGGCGATCTTCCAGGTGGGGGGCCCCCCCTCGGCCCTTGCCCACTTCACCTGCAAGACCCCTTGGAATAGGTACAGTGTGTCCCATCTGGACCACCAGCTTTTGAACCCGGCGCCAAGGTCGGTGATGTCCTCCCATTCAGGCCGGTCGCTCCCCGCCACCAGCCACTGGCGGACCGGTCCCAGCTCCTGGTCGTCCTGCTGTTCCTGAGCTAGCTTGCTCAGGTCCCAGACCTCCGGAAACCCGTCCAAAATCGAGTCATCCTCCTCTCCGTCCATTTCGGCTGTCGCAACCAAGGACTTGTCCTCCGCCTCCGGCGGCCGGCTCCGAGGGGGGCCCGAATCCGCCGGAGGGGCCGGCCCCGGCGGCACCGTCCAGACTGGCTCCGCCGGCAGCCGGCCGCGGACGGCGCCACCCTTCCCTTTCCCACGAGGGCAATCCCGGCGGGAATGCCCATACTCGCGGCACCTGTAGCACCGGACCCACGAGGGGGCACCCAGCAAGGGTGGGTCTCCACCCGCTGCCCCCGCCTTGCCTGGCGTACCTGCGGAGGGTTCCTCGACCACTCGGGCCTCCTTGGCCTCGATCCTACCCTTCTGCTGATAAGCCTGGGACTCCAAAAAGGTCTCCATCTCAGTGGCCAGGGTAATCGCCTCTGCCAGGGTCGTGGCCTTACTTGCGAATACATGGCGCTGCAATTGTTCGTTCTAGGGCGTTCCGGAACGCCTCAACCGACAGATCTTCACGCGCCTGCGTGGGCAAAGTGGGGTTACTCCGGAGGACTAACCAACGGATGGACCTCCACAGTTCCTCTAGGGACTCTCCCCGACCGCGCACCCGCATGGAAAGTTGAGCCCGATGGAGCGGCACCTGCGAAGCAACTCCAAACCGCCGCTCGAAATGTTCAAGGACGCTCACGTAGTCCCTCTGGGCCTCCGGCGACAAGTCGGTGAATGCCTCCTGGGCCAGTCCACGCATATGGGAGGCCAAGTACTCCGCCTTCTCGGCCCTGCTCCATTTATTGACGGTGGCCACGATCTCGAAGTGTGTGAGGTAATCCGCCCATATGAGCTTCCGTCATACCGGTCCGGAAGTAGCACTGGTCTTCGGTCCTTCTGATCGGCTCCCCCCGCACGGGGATCAGCCTCGTAAGTCTGTGTGCGGATCCGGTGGGGATCCACCTCATGTGCCTGTGTGTGGATCCGAGGGGGATCCGCCTCACACAGACACGTGCAGATCCCCACGTGGGGATCCGCCTCATGAGTTTGTACGCATTTCCTTATTTATCTCACAAACTCAAGCTAGCCCGTCTCGACCCTCCCTCCCGACGACCGTCGCCGCGGCCTCGCAGCGCTCCAGGCGGTAAGCCACATCGGCCACGTCTCCGGCGCGCGAGGGCGCCCCAAAACCTGTCACGGGTCCGCTAGCTCCCCTCAATTCGCGTCGGGGCCCCGCCCCCGTGGCCGCCGCCACGGCCCGGCCGCGCTCCGAGAGGGACGCTTCCATAGCCACCGCGGCGCCGCAAAACTAAACTATGCCCCTAAAGTATGGCTAGTATTACCAACTTCAGCTACCTCGCACCGAGACTCCAACCCCACGGCAGCCGCCCAGCCGTGCTCTGAGAGGAGCATTCTCTCGGCTACGACGGTACCGCGAGAGGGCGCCCCGACGCTACCACAAGACATGAATGTACTTCCGCCCGGCTCCCGCCAGGACCCCCCAGCCGCGGACCCACCCTGGGGGCGCTCCGACTGGAACGCCTCTCCCAGTGCATCCCCACCGCCTGAGGGCGCCCCACGGACGTCGACAATGGGTGTACTAGTGAGGGGCCGGGAGGATGTCTCCTGGCGATGCCCCGCCCCCTCCCCAGCGACCGGGGCGAATTGGTCGTGCTCCAAACGGAACTGCACCCCCTTTGCCCCATCGACCTTAGAAGGGGGGAAGTGGCCCGGGGACTGCGCAGACTTGGCTGTATTCTCCAGGGGACCTAGCCCAGGACCCCCCCCCACGCCACGCACTCGATACCCTCGAATTTTGGCCTCCCACTCCGGGATAACTGTTCCAGATTCTCCGCAAGGAACGACTCCAGCTCGCCCGCCAACCCAGGTGAGTTCCACGTCGCCTTCACGGTCTGGGCCCCTGACCACGGGGCCACGCGCCGGCCTGTGCTGCCGCTATCCAGCGAGTCTGGCACCCGACCAAAATCATCCACCAATTCCATGACACAGAAAAGGCGAAGAGTTTACCTGTCTTTTTACGGCTATCCAGCGTCTCGCCACTGCCATCAGTTGTAGCGTGTCCTTCTGCACAGGGTTCGACGCTGTGAAGAACGACACTCAGGTGCAACTCACTGTTCTGGTCACAAAAATCTCTGCTTTATTCTGTCGCAATCTGACAGCACCACAATGTGCTCTTCCGACAAGCTCTTCACAACATGGCGCCTAACGGCAGGGACTGCGCAGGCGCGAGGCGGAAAACCGCGGGCCGTTCGCAACCAGCGCGGGCAGTCAGCCAACTCCATGCGGGTCCGAGCTGGCGCCCCCACCGGCCGGACCCGCTGGCGGTACAATTTATTTAAATAAGGCCTACTGCATACATCATGTAGTCTTTTATTAAGCCCAAAAAATACATGTAATGTTGAATTGCGGTACATGCCTCTCAAAAATTGGATCGGTAGGTCGGAACATTTTTTTTGGGGGGGGGCAATTTTGTGCTGGTTGAATGGCATCAGTAGGGAGGAAAGCTTCCAAAAGTATCTCAAAAAGTGAAGAACAACCGTCTCAATCTATGTTAAAATTTCTGCAATTCACAAGAAAATTATGAACAATTTAGGCGAACTGGTCAACAATGTCCGTGTATTGCGTGTTAAGCATGCGTGATGCATCTAGACCAGCGGGCGCTAAATTTTATAAAATGAGCGGAACAACCTCAAATTTCTCATGAACACAGAAAATACATAAATAAGAGACCAAGTTCTGTGAATTAACTTGCAGAAAACTTCTTGCAACATAATGTAACGAAAAGCCTTTTTGATGTCTGATTAGAATACCTTTTTTGTGTTTGCTCATGGCTCATTGCATGCTGAGAATTTGGCTTGTTCTTTTCTTAACCAGGACTCTTTTGTTAAGTTGGATAAGCTTAGCAAAGCTCAGAGTGCAGTCTGTAGATCAGTCATTTATATTTGAATTATTTTGTATCACCAGAGAATGGAGGGCCACCTCCTTACATTCCTTCTTTTGAAAACTGGGTTGGGCACTCTGTATAAAAACTAGAGCCCACTATTGCCTGTCGAAGATTTGCGACTGAGTGCTGGTAAAGGCAACATGCTGTTTTGATTTGTTTCTGTTGCATGAACATGTATGAATGCCACTTCTGAAACACGTGGATATCCTGACAAATTCTGTAAGTTTATTTTCTATCTTCATGCAATTGTGCCCCGTGCCTCATCTAAGCCGTGTCTGTAGCTCCGTTATTATTGTATAATTCACTGGTTGTGCTGTATAATTGTAGATGCAGTAATGAGTACTGATCAAACTGTTTAAAGATAGCACTTGATTCGCTTATTTGCTGGCTAGAGCCACGAGCTAATTAGATTGTGAATTACAGCCGAGAAACTTGTTGGGCTGATTCAACGATTTGAATCCATACTGTCAAATTGTAAATATTTGAAATGATGCAATTATTTTTGTTCATTAATTAAATGCCAGAGGCCAGTTGGCCAGTGGCGAATTTAAAAATAGTTCTTTTCTGTTCAGTTGATTTGTGTGTGTTCCGACTACTGGCGGAGTCCTAATTAAAAGGATTCCGTTACAGTTTTTTGCGGCAGCGGTGGGATTTTCTTTTGATGGCAATATCAGTATGGATTCAATAAGAGATGCCGTTGGGGCTCAGTTGAATCGTACTATTTCCATGTAGAAGAAGAGTTGGATCGTAATTTACATTTGTTAGGTGCGACTGGGATGGGGGCAACGCCTAAGCCCGTGGGTGTTAAAGTTCATTTTGCACCCAGTCGTGAGTCCTCCCCTGCGGGCAATGTGAAACACACACGGGGTACGCACGAAGTACGTCAAACACCACCTTCAGATGTACATAGTAGTTGTAGGCCCACTGAGAATGAATATGCAGGCAGTGTATACCCTGGTGATTTTAGTTTGCATTCTAATTTACCAAGATCAACTTCATCAAAGCCCATTTCTTTGCCCGATACTTACGATGGCAAGACTCCTTTAGAGGACTGGCTAACAAATTTAGAATTATGTAGTCAAATTAATGGATGGAGTAAGGAACAAAAGACTAGATTTCTTGCTGTACGGTTAAGGGGCTCAGCCTTACAGGTATACACAGACTTGTCAGATAAAAAGAAAAATTATTTCTCTGGGTTGGTAAATGCTCTGAAGGAAAGGTCTCGTAAAAAGGGTGAATCTTTGCCGGAACTTGCTCGTGAGATCCGTCGATTTGCATGCCCTAATGTGTCCTCAGAAGTCAGAGAAGAGATTGGTAGGGACCAATTTATTGAATCACTTGACTTACTTGAAGTAAGGATGCAGGTTAGACGTGCAAAGCCGAAGTCACTAGGTGAAGCCTTGTCATTGGCACTAGAAGAAGAGGCATTTTTACATTTAGAATGTAATAAAGAACTTCCAAAGAAACTGGTCTCTAGTGCTACTCGACAGACAGATTCAGACCTAGAACGTAAAGTTCACCAACGAGAACAATCCATTGCAGAACTTAAGAGCCTTATGAGTTATAATTCCAGACAAAGCCGGTGGTACCACTTGTCTGCTGGAAGTGTCAACAGCCAGGGCATAGACGGTCAGAGTGTCCAGAACTTGCCGCTGAGCGGGTTTCATCTACTACACCTACATCAGTCGACCAAGGTCAGTCACAAGTACAGGAAAACCGCAGTAGGCTGAGCAAGGGGCCACTGCTCAGTTAAAATTAGATAGTCAGGCCCAGTCCTCTGTTTGTTTTGTACGAGGTTGTATTCATGGTGTCAATATCAAGTTCCTTATTGATACAGGGTCCTCAGTTACCATTTTGCATTCTCACATGTGGGAAATGATGCCTTTAAGTATCCGACAGAATATGAAGCCTTGGGAACAGTCTATTGTAGCAGCTGAAGGAAGTTGTCAGGGGGTGATTGGTGTCTAGGAAAGAGTTATAGCGCCCTCCTCTGTTCAAGTGTGATGTGGAAGACAGGCACAATATAGACATGGCAGACATCGCAGTCGTTGTGGAGTGTCCTTATTTTGTTAAGCTTTAGAACCCATAACATGGTGTCAGAAGTGAACTGATATATTGAGAAAATATCAGAGACTTGATTGAGCTTAACTTAGTGTTGGAGTAGCCAGCCTTTGACCGAGAACAAGAGAGGTTTTTTCGGGTGTCAGAAGTGAACTGATATATTGAGAAAATATCAGAGACTTGATTGAGCTTAACTTAGTGTTGGAGTAGCCAGCCTTTGACCGAGAACAAGAGAGGTTTTTTCGGGGGTAAGTCAACAACACTTCCGAAATTACTNCATACTCCCCCGAAAAATTAAATGTTGTCCTCAACATTACAAAACAATCCGTAACAGAAACGTATGTACAAAAAAAAACAAATGAGTGCTCATCACCTTATAGGACTTATGTGGAGTCGGAAGTGCGAACTATGGAGAATCTCTCCAACTATGAGCCAAAAACATCTCTCCATAAGTTTACGGGCATAGTGCGATAACTGGAATCATTCAAGGTGATCAGCCAATTTAAATTCCAAAAATCTGATCAAGAAGATCAAGTTAAAAAAAGAAAGTCGCACTTCCCTGCAAGACTTTGCAATTTTGTCCTTAGGAGCCAAGCATCATTCAAATAGGTCACAATTACTACTGTTCTACTATTGTTCAGTTCAGCACACTCCAGGTGGGTTGAAGTACGGTAGAGACGTCACTGGATGCGATCCCTGTACATACTGCTGGAGAGGATACTGCGGTAGTGCAGGGTAGTATCCCATGGGTGGCACTGCATACATGGAAGGATATGGCTGTGGAAATGAACCATTCCCATAGGGCATTCTGTAGGGGTAAGGGGCTTGAGCAGAACCCATCTGCTGGTTGGGAACCTCAGGCGGAATGGGGGCGGGGACATGGTGTGGGGGCAGGGCATATTCACCGAAAACCTGTTCTGGGGTTTTCGCAGGGGGTTCCGACGCGAGCACTGGCAGTACTGCAGAAACGTGTTGACGAGGGACACCAAGTTGATCATAGGTGAGTGCATCCGGTGGCTGTCTGTTCCGGCTTGGGTACCTGGCTTCAGTCTCTGCTGTGGATACATCGCTTCCTTCAGGTGGGGCTTCATCTACAGGGGGTTCTGGGAGAGCTGCCACACCCGGCTGTTGTTCAGGCTCCACGTTGAGTTCCAGGTCTGGAAGGGCCTGCATCTCCAGCTCTTGTTGGGGCTCTGCTGATGAAGGTTGGATGGATGTTGTAGGGTTTTCATGCCCCAATGTCTGGTGCCGATCAGGAATGATGTCCTCTTCTGGGGTGAACTGCTCCTGCAGTTGATGTGGCATCTGAAGATAGACCTCTTCATCGGAACTGCTGCCGTCTTGAGTTGGGCTGGGCGATTGGTGAGTTAGTCGTTTTGAGCGTCGTTGCTTCTTTGGTTGAGCTGTAGGTTGTTCCCCGTGTGTTTCTGATGCAGGGAGGTGGTCACAGGAGAGGAGAAGGTTTCGATGAAGAACCCGTGTCCGCCCCAGTCCATTCTCAGGTTTGACCTCATACACAGGCATGTCGTCCTGCATCTGCCTGATGACAATGTGTATTTTCTCCTCCCAGTAGGCTCTCAGCTTTCCTGGACCACCGGTCTCATTCAGGTTTCTTACCAGCACTCGGTCTCCAGGCTGTAGGCTGACGCCATGTAGCTTTTTGTTGTACAGTTTCCGGTTGCGGAGCGCTGTCTTGGAGCTATGTCTGGAGGCTAGGGCGTATGCTTGCTCCATCTGGGCCTTCCATTTTGCAACATAGTCAGCATGGTTGGTAGCTGAGCCTTCTGTACTTGCTGGAAGGTTGAAGGAGATATCTATCGGAAGGCGGGGTGGTCTACCATACAGAAGATAGAAGGGTGAATACCCCGTAGCCTCGTTGCGGGTGCAATTGTATGCATGTACGACTTTATCAAGTGATGCCTTCCAGTTTGATTTCTGTTCTTCAGGTAGAG